CAGCGGCCCCTGCAGCGCGGACGCGGCCGCCAGTCACCCCCGCACGGAGCCCAACCCTGAAGGCCCGCGAGCGAGATGCATTCGTGGTGGAGGCCCGGAGCACCCGGAACTCGGCACATGGCCGCGGAAAGGCACCGCGCAGCTCGTGGAGCGAAAAACCAAAACGTTCCATGACGATACGCATCCGGCTTCTTCATATACGACACACAGCACACACCAAAAATATGAAACCCGTTCTGGGCATGAACTGACAATTCTCTCCTTTCACAGCCGTTTATCTTCCCTCTTCCAGAGCCTCCCAAGACACCCCCAACTGGTCCCAAGAGGCGCCCGAGAGCCTCCAGAGAGACCCCCAACAGGCCCCAAGAGGCCCCCGAGAAGGATCCAAGATGCATCCGAAGAAACTCCGAGAGGCGTCCAAGAAGCAACAAGCTATTCTGCTCGCCATTTCTCTCTTCATCCACTCCGTCCGCATCTTCCTCATCCTCCATCCTCCCCCTCCCCCTCCTCCTTCTTCACATGCTCCTCCTCCTCCTCCTCCTCCTCATCCACCCCCGATTCCTCCTCCATCCTCGCCTCTTGGGTAAGACGGGTTCTCCCCCCACCCCCCTCCTGGGGATCGCAAGAGTATTCCGACGACCCCTTGGGGGTACTCGGCGTGTGAGACGGTTGCCCCCGCCCATTTCCCCTCCCCCGCGGAGAGTACAGTCGATTCGGATCGGCCGGCCCCGACCAACTGCAGCCAGAGGGAGTAAATTGCTCCAGAAATTCTGCTGGATGGCGCCCGACGGCGTCGACATGACACCCAGAAGCTCCAAGACAGCCCAAGATGGCTTCCAGCTGGCCCCAGATGGCCCCAAGCCGCATCCAGATGGTCTCCAGACAAAGCAAGAAACGCCAAAGACGACCAAAGAGACTCCAAAGAGGCCTCCCAACCGGGCTTCAAGAAGCCAAACTAATTGATTTGCCTAAGCTTTGTAAAGTGTTGGGCATTCTTGCCTCTTCGAATTTCCGACGGCACGAGCAGCCCAAACAGGCGCCCAAGACCGCACCAAGAAGGCCAAAGAGAGTCCCAACAAGGCCGCAAGAGAGCCCGAACACAGGCCAAGAGCCGCCCAAAACGGCCCAAAAGAGACCCAAGACAGTCCGAACAAAGGCCTAAGACAGCCCAAGAGGCGGCCAAGACGGCCCAACAGAGCCCCAGAACGCCACAGGAAGCACCAAGAGACCTCTAAGAGGCACCACGAGGCCACCAAGAGGCGCACACGAAGCCGAAAAAGACACCTCTGAGGCACAAAATATGCTTCAAAACGAGCTCCCAAAGGCACCGACACCGACAACATGAGCAAAGGCGACGCGCTGCGAGCCCCCCCAAGGGGTCGGCGGTGTGGCGTAAGCCCAAGAATAACTCCTCCCTGTCGCACCCCGAGGCCAGTTTGACGGGCGGGCCTGGCGTTTCGCCTGAGACTTCCTCACCACTTGCGAACCTCAAGCGTAAAAACTGACAACAGTTTTACACATCGAAAGCGGGCCGCTCCCACAACGCAGCTCTCGCCCTAGCGCCGCGCACATTCGTCTTCAGAGCTTACAAAACAAAAAAAACGCCAATGAAAGGCAAGGCAAGTCTTTTCAAGATGTGGTTCTCGCCTGAGCGCCGCGCAACTTCGTCTCGAAAGTTCTACAACACGTTCACGGATGGAGGGCGGGTGGTTTTCAAAATGTGGCTCTCGCCTTAGCGCACATTCGTCTTCAGAGTCTGTAAGAGGCTTCACGGATTGAGGGCGGGTATTTTTCAACATGCGGCTCTCGCCCGTGTGCCGCGCACATTTGTTGTAAACATATGCAAGAGCTTCACGGGTTGAATGCGGTTTCTATCCTAAATGTGGCTCTCGCCTTCGCGCCGCGCACATTCGTTTCGAATAACATCAAAAGTGTCACTGGCTATCATTGTTAACGTACAAGGACCAGAAAGCCCTGTTTGGGAAAGATTCAGGATTGTCAGGGCGCTACAGTTACGTTGATTCGCGGCGTTGGAGTCCCAGGAATGGTGTTCTGGCACGATTCAGGATCGTCGAGACGCAACAGTCAAGCTGACTCGTGGCGTTGAAGTCCTGAGAATGGTGTTTTGGTACGCTTCAGGATTCTCAAACTGTTGCCCCCCACACGGGGCACTTCCCTCAGTGGAAAAGGATCCGTGTAGGGGCCAATGAAGAGGGAGCTTGGAGGGAGGGTGTCTTCTAACATCGTTGATGATTCTTGGGTTTGCACTGGTCCTCCTCCTCCTCCTCCTCCTCCTCCTCCTCCTCCTCCTCCTCCTCCTCCTCCTCCTCCTCCTCCTCCTCATTGTTATCCTCCTCAACCGTCCTATTCCCACATCAAAGACTCACTCCTCTCGCACCCCGAGACGTCGGTAGGGCAAGTCGAGCGTTTCGCCTGACAGTTCCTCACCACGTATGTTCCGGAAGCTAAAACTCGCAACCGGCCGGTGTTCAAAATGCGGCTCCAGCCCTCAGCGCCGCGGGCGTTCGTCTTCAGAGTTCCCAAGAGCTTCACGGATGGAGGGCGGGTCGCTTTCAACATGCGGCTCTCGCCTCAGCGCCGCGCACGTTCGTCTTCAGAGCTCGCAAGAGCTTCACAGATGCAGGGCGGGTCGCTTTCAAAGGTTGACTATCGCCCTCGCGCCGCGCAGATTCGTCCTCAGAGTTTGCGAGAGCTTCACGGATTGAGGGCGGGTGGTTTTCAAAATGTAGCTCTCGCCTTTGCGCCGCGCACACTCGTCGTAAACAGATACATATGTTTCAGCAATGGAGGGCGCGTGGTTTTCAAAATGTGGCTCTCGCCTCAGCGCCGCGCACATTCGTTTTCAAAGTTTGCACAAGGCTTCACGGATGGAGGGCGGATCGTTTACAAAATGTGGCTCTCGCCTGAGCGCCGCGCACATTTGTGTTCAGAGTTTGCAAAAAAAGGTTCCACCGATGGAGAGAAGGTCGTTTTCAAAATGTGGCTCT